CCAGCTAAAAATTATGCTTTTACTCTCTTTCACAGAAGATGGGAATGCGAACCCAAATCTAGACAGCCCTGAGTCAAATTTGGGTTGCTTGCAAGCCTTGCAGTTTTGTATCAGCCCAATCTTACTCAAGCTTCTCAAAGGAGAAAAGGGGGGATTGGATAAAAAAAAAAAAAAAAAAAAAACAAGGCATGGACTGGGAAAGAGCCTTTTGGGATAAGCTGTGGCATGTCGGTCTTTGCTCTTATGCCATTAAATGCCCTTCCTTGTTGTGTCCCCTTGACACCCAGGATGGCATGTCCTTCATCACTACATCTGCTATCTTCTTTAGCACTCATGGAAGGGCCACACATAATGAGATGAGGTCAGCCAGGGGTGGGGAGGAAAGCCAGGTTCACTGTTCATAGATGGAACTTCCAAAATTGAGAGACAGGGTCGCATAGTTCAGTGGCTTGTCAGCAAGGCCATTAATTGGCTGAGATTTCTCAGTGAGCATTTAAAGATGATTCATGCTATAAAATGCTAATCCCTGTCTCCCAAATGGTTGGCCCCTGGGGGGGAGGGGAAACTACTGTGTAGGAAAACATCTTTAAACTTGATTGTCTTTTGAAAAATGATTTCTTCCTGACAAATCTGAACCGTTTTTGAAAATGTAACTTGTCCCCAGAGTCATTCTTGCTTCTTAAGTGTTTTAGTGGATTGCCAGGAGTTTGTTCTGATTCTCAGGATTCATCAACATGGTACAGGCTTTTTTGTAGTTGCTGTCCTGTGGACCAGAAATCGAAGTCAAGACTCATTTATTTGTTGTTGCTCATCACATCATTCAAGAGTAGCTGAGTGTTTATTTTTTGGAAGCTCTGTGTTAGAGGTTTATATTCAACAAGCAACTTTATCTGCAAAAGCACACGGGTACTGTGGGGGTCAAGCCTCTGCTTTGCATAAGCCACCAGAAGTGCTCCCACCTGAGCAATGCAAGGTACCCCGCTGGCATTGACACCCAGGGAAGAATTAACACCTAGATTTCCTTTTCTCATTTTAGTTAAGAAATGCCATGGTGAATCGAAAGACGGGGAAGTTTTCCATGGAGGTGAAGAAGACAGTGGACAAAGGGGTACATTTTTCTCAAACATTCTTGCCACTTAATTTAAAACAAACCACTGTGAAAAATTAGCTTTGAAAACTCTATCTGGAATAAATCTCTTTCAATGAGATCATTTTTCTCTTGTCTTTACTTATCTCAAACAAGACTCATGTAGTACTGTTAACCTGATCACAGTGTGCCCATTTATTTTTTATTGACTTCTGAAAACATCACCTAGCAGACTAACCATGTTTTCTTTTCTCTACGACTTCTTTTTTCAATCTAGAAACGGGTTTTGGTGATGACAAATGACTACTATTACACAGACATCAAGGGTACTCCTTTCAGGTAGAGCTGACCATAATACATGGACATTCCATCAGACCCATCAGTGTGTTTGTACAAAACCTGCTGACGCTCTCAGAGCTCATCATCTGAAGATAACAAACACCCTGCCGAAAGGCTGGAAAGAGTGAGGAAGGGGCTTTTCCCAGGCTGCTTTTGTCTTCCAGAAGGGGGAAGAGATGGTTCAGGCCCACCTAGGGGAAGTCCCTCAATTTGTCATGGCTTTGCATCTCACTACCAACAACAACAACAAAAAAGCTTTGGAGGTTCCCACCAAAGGTGGAGACCATTCGGTTTGTTACCAGGGTCCTTAACCATCTAAATTGCTGCCTCCTGAGATCCATTCCACCTTTTATTTTCATGACCAGAAAACAATCCTTCAAACTTGGAGGTAGCATTTCATCCCTACATATTGTGTTTCTGTTTCAACTTCTCTGAACTGTTCTTCTCTGCTTGTCTCCCTTTGAATCCTATTGTTTCTCTTTGTTACATTCTAAAAAGATGGTTTTGCCTCACTGCCTGTTTTCAAATGTGTGTGTAGCCTCCTAAAGTTGCCCACTCCTGTTAACTCAGTGTTGTCACACATTTTGGCAAAAAAAAAAAAAAAAAATTATTTCAGTAAGGCTACTTCATGTTCCTGAACTGGTATCTTGCAGAGCTAAAGAGAGATTTTATTGACTACACATTCATCTGAAAAATAAATTCTAGCATCACTGTTACAGGTAGATCCCACTTGGAACCTAGAGCAATCAAGGCACAGATGGGCTGCTAAGTGAGTTCGCCAAATGAATAGACAGTGTTTTTATAACACAGTCTCTTACTTTCAGCAAAAACAGAAAGGAGCCTAAATCAAGCCAGTGAAGAGTGTGGAAAACCTATTAGAGAACTGGGCAAAGAAGCCTGTCACACAGTAATGTGGCTGCACATAAGCAGTAGTGGAAGTTTTCATTTTGCCCTTGAGAAGGGGTCAGTTTTCCCTCCTCTCAAACTCTGGGGTCTGGGAAGTCCCATCTCTGGCTGACCACAGGGGCAGAGGTGTGTAAGGTGGTTGCACAGAGCAGGGTGCATGGTCCTTGGGAGGGTGTCCAAGGGAAAGGCTTGCTGGAGGGCAAGTTGTTTGCCACAAGTCTTGAAAACACAAGAGCAGCCAATTGCTGCTGGCATTTCGAATCAGAAATTACTTTGAAGCAGCTGCTTGAACCTAAGAAAAACCAACACCCACTATAATCAGTGAGGTTTTGAAAGTAAACTGTTGGAAAAATTGTTTACAGAACATGAAATGGAAATGTGAAAATGGAAAATAAAAAATGTTACCCACAAGTCTATTCCAGTTGATGCTACGGACTTCAAGGTCTTCTTTGTTTCTCTGCACAGTTTAGGTGTGGCGCTCTCCAGAGGCCATGGGAAATATTTCTTTCGCGGGAATGTGACCATTGAAGAAGGTAAGGTGTGGCCTTGGCTCCTCCTATCCTTTGGCCTGGAGGAGAAAGGTCTGGAACCAACAATGAGTGGACTATAGAATTTGTTCATTCCCCAAACCTCTGGCCATTGCCTTGGGCAATTGACTCATTAATTGCTCACTTGCTGTTACCTTCCTTTCTTGCCAACTTTTTCTAGGTTTCAGAATGGGGGGGACCCCCAACGAATGGTGGCCTTTGTTGTGATTTAATTTATTTATATTTTGCCTTTATCTGTAGAATTGTCGAGGAAACTCATAACCTTTCACCAGCTATAATCTTCTCATACATAAAATCACTACCAGAAGAAAAACAAATTAGTGTAAAATCTCAAGCCCAGGGGGACAATGAAAGCAAAGATCTGGAAGTCTTAGCCTTCTACACAGTTGACCTACACATCTCACTTGTGTTTCATAGCAACAACCCTCGCCCAAGAGAAATGTGACCACTGAAATGATTGACAGAGGTTGGAGAAATAGGTTGTATCCTGTGACTCTTATCACAGTCCACATTAAGCACAGGTGCCCAGAGACTGTACCACATAGCTCTGTAAACTGAAACGATTGTCATACACATGCCAACCGTCCTTTTCATCCCTACAACTCACTAGTTCAGTAAAGCTTCATTTCCCAGTGTCAGGTGGGGGTGGGCATGGTCAATGAAGGCTCTCTTCCCTGAGTAATCTTGAGTAAGTCACTTGCCCTACTTGGGCATTTTTTTTTTTAACACAGGAGGAATTGGACCAGACAAGGACTGTTTCAGGGTAGATAGCTAAGAATAGGAAGGTTGTTTATAATCCAAGTTTCAATTGCTTAGAGCTGGTTAAAAATGAACATGGTAAATTTCCAGAAGTAAACTACTCCACGGCTCCCACTGATGATGGAGTAGGGCGTGAAGAATGAGAATGATGGTCCCTGAGATGGCACGTTCCATGGATGGCCTCCTGGTTTACTGCTGATTATTCCTGCAATGTCTCACAAGTGTTGGTTTTGGTTGTGAGGTGACTGTGAGATCTTAGGGAACAGTAGGGAGAGTAGAGAAGCTCACTGTGAACTGGGAAGAACCCATCCTGCGCCCACCCCAGAGCCAACCATGTGATTTCTCTTTCTAGAAACACAGAAGGAGAACATGGGCAACTTTGTGACTTGGGCAAAATACTCCACAGGAAGTGTTCTCTGAGATCATGTTTTAACTTCTAGTATTTTCTGTGGACATCGGGGTCCTTGAAGGCAGAAAATTCATGTCTGAGCCATCTGAAGTCAAGCTAATGAAACAACTCATGGTCAGAACAACAGTTGTCCATTAGTGGAATCCTTGCCTCTCACATGTCTGTCCCCTTAGCCTGTCCTCTACATCTGGACCTGTTTCTCCCTTGCTTTCTCTGTCTTTTCTCCCTCTCTCTTCTACTTTCTCCCTTTCCTTTCCCAAACTCTCTCTCTCTCTCTCTCACAGTTGTTTTGCATTGTCTTTTGGATCATTTTCTTTTTTGGTCACTATCTTCCTGTATGTTCCCCAGCTGTCAGGCTAAGCAGTCACACACAGAGAATTTCAGAGCTAACTATTACCACCATGAAGAAATTACTTGTATCCTCAGCAAGGGGGGGAATGTCTGGTTATCCACACAAATGAGGTCAGATCTTCCTCTCTCTGTTGGTCCTCTGTAAATAAAAGGACTTACAATCCTGCCAACTTCACTAAGTAATAGAGCCTAGGAAAGCTGCTTCCTCTTAGGCTGACTCGTAGAGTCTTGTCATCTCTAAGAACCATGGCATAATTATTGTTCAGGGAGAGAGAAGGACTTCTTTGGGGATGGCAGACATACTTCTGTAGGTTTTGCAATAAGGAATGCTTCCCTACAAATTGTAGGGATTTTCCATATGCTTTGACAATGCTAGATACTACCAAGAGATTGACTGCTCAAAAATATAAGGACAGGTAGGTGCAGTGGCTCATGCCTGTAATCCCTGCTACTCAAGGGGCAGAGATAAGGAAGATCACAGTTTGAAGTCAACCTCAGCAAAAAAGCTCACAAGACCTCATCTCAACCAATAGTGACTGGGCCTGGTGGCATGTGCCTGTCATCCCAGCTATGCTGGAAGGATAAATAGAAAGATCATGGTCCACGCCAGCCCAGGAATGAATGGGATACCCTATTTGAAAAATAACTAAAGCAAAAAGGGCTGGGGTATGGCTTGAATGGCAGAGTACGAGCCTAGCAAGTGTGAGGCCCTGAGTTCAAATGCCAGTATGGCCTAAAAGAAAAGCATGTAAAGAGTCATTTCTATAGTTGTGCCTCTTCTGAATCTCTTTTATATCCTTTGCATGTATTATACACAGTAATTATTAATAAATTAGAGCTTTTGTCAATAATGTCAATCATCAGTAGATGTGATTTTTGTGAGAAAGACTAAAATCAGGGGTTGTGGGGGGAGAGAGAGGAACAATTACATTTCTTCCCCCGGGGTCCCATTTGTAGGTCCTGTGAAATAGAGCCACACAGGGCTTTGTGGGTGAAGGTTGACTAAACTGAATATAGAATAATAAGTAGAACTGACATCCTTAACTCAGTATTCTGGAAAGGTACAGTTCCACCTCAGCACCTTTGCACTTCTTACTCCTTCTGCAGTGAGCACTCTCCTTGCTTCCCTGCGTGACTTTTTCCCTTCCCTCCTTCAGATCTTTGGTTAAAATCACTTTCTCAGTAAAACCTTCCCTAACCACCAGAATTAGAACTGAAACTCTGTCTTAAGCTTTCCCATCTCTTGGTCCTCCCTGTCCTTGTTCTATGCTCCCTTTTCCTTCATAGCCTTCACTACCAACTGGTATGCTATATATTTTAATTTCAAGTTTATCTACTTCTCTCCTTTATGTCAGTAGAAATGAAGAATTATCAAAGCACAGATTTTTGTTTTGTTCACTGTTATAGTCTGTAGAATAGTCCCTGACACATAGCAGATGCTCAGTAAAAATACTGAAGAAAGGCAGGAATGCGGGACAGGGGAAGAAGAAAGTAAGAAGGAAGAGAGGGAAGGAAGGAAGGAAAGGGTATAAAAGATTAATGGATAACTGGATTTTCCTAGGTGTTAATAACAATCTCATTTAACCATCTGGTGGAGTTTGTGAGTTATGTAATATTTCCTGCATCACATAGGTGATACAACCCAAGGTCATTCCCAAGGTCTTGTAACCAGTAGATTTTATAGCCTGGTATTCAATCTCACTTACTCCTCACTTCTGTACAATCAAACATGGTGGTGTGATAGGCCTAGTGTCCCACTATTGGTTTTATACATCCATATTTGAGCAGGAAATTGGAGTCCTGTGTGCAGTGAGATACCATTGGCCATGAGGAAACTGACTTCCTGAAATAAGCTATAACATCATCAAAGTGTCTGAGTGTGTCATTCAGAAGTGCATGTCTACTGATTTCCCATTGAATTCAAGGCACAAGATCCAAGGAATGAGAGTGTCTTCACAAAGGGTCTCATTTTGTGTTGCTGTAACAGAATACCTGAGGCTAGGTACCTTATAAAGAGGTTTATTTAGCTCACTATTTTAGAGGCTGAAAGTCAAGACTGGCTGGCTCCATATAGTTGGCTTCTGGCTGCATCCAAACTTGGCAGAGAAGTAGAAAGAGCAGTTGCCACATGTAGCAGGAACGCTGGTGCAAGTGAAGAAGCAAGAGAGCAGAGAGGAACCTGGTTCATTCTTTTATAAAAATGCTCCCATGGAAACCAGTCCTGTGATAACTACATTAATCCATTCTGAGGGTGATGCCCAAATGATTTAATCCTTTTCCACTAATCTCCACCTCTTAAAGATCCACTCCCTCCCAATACTATTCATTGGGGACCAAGCATCCAATTCATGATATACCTTTGGGAATGAACCGCATCCAAACTACACAGAGTTAAGGTAGTCTGGAATATTCTGTAAAAATTTCCAGATTCCATGCAAGTTCTAGCTTCTCTACCCACGTTCCTAGACAGATGATTCATTTTACCTAGGACCCTGTAACAACTAGCAATTTTTGCTGGCAAAAAGCAGTTGAGTATTGACAATTTTATATTGTTCAACCTGTAATTTCACCCTCACAACTATCAATCAGTTAGGGACTATTATCATTCCTGTTTTGCACATGAAGAAACTGACATTTAGAGAAGTAAAGTACCCTGCTAACACCGCACAGGAGTTTGATGGCCTAGTCCAGATACCATCTTGGACTACAAGTTGCTCCAGAGTCAGCTTTTCCTACCGTCCTATTAAGCTTCCTTCCCAGCATTCACTGATGTGTCACTTATCTTCAAAGGGTTATGGTTTCCCTGGGATATATAGCCAGGGAAGGTGGGGGTGGTGGTAGTGAAGTGTGTGAAAATGGGGACAGGGTTATCTGGGCAGAGAACTTGTTCTTTTTGTCTGGAATCCCTGTTACCAGGCAGGTCCCTTTGGATTGATGTCTACTGTTAAACCACTCCACAACCTTACCTTAGAATATTTGAAGCACCTGGGAGAACGAGGGGAAGTAGTACTTATTCTTTCATCTTTTCTCCTTGACCTGCAGGTTTGCATGACTTAGAGCACCCGGATGTGTCCTTGGCCGATGAATGGTAAGAATTCAACAGGCCTTCCTGAGCCTCAGTATTTACTGCCCTCTTTGGTTCCTAGGTGCTTGTGCCCCCTTAGTCAGTTTTCCTGGTTCAAATGCAAGGGAAGACAAAGCTGTAAATATTTATAAGCTCTTATTTGGGGCCCTGTCATGTTCATAGGTCCTACTGCAACACTGACCTGCACGCTGAGCACCGTCATCTGTCTCAACTAGAAGCTATTAAGCTCTACCTCAAAGGCAAAGAGCCTCTGCTCCAGTGTGAGTGCTTTTTCAAAGGCATGCTGCATGTGCATGTAGGGGCAGGGGGACAGTCAACTCCAAATTATTTTTTTTACCTCCATTTTCAAGAAAAGCTTTGATTTGGTGGAGTCTGTCACATTAAATCCAGCCAAATATCTGCTTTCTGTAGAAAAACAGGAGAAAGAATGTAGATTGCCAATTACAGAATCACCATTTAGCCCTTTACATGGGATTTGTTCTACATATTTCCATATCCAACTCCTTTATTTTACAAATGACAAACCAAGGTTAGAAAAACGATCATCTTAAGCTGGGTATGATGGTTGATGGTACATGCCCATAATCCCTGGTATTCAAGAGACAAAGTAGGAAGACTGTGGTCTGAGGCCAGTCCTGGGCAAAGTGGGAGATGAAGACTACACACACACACACACACACACACACATATATATATATAAAAGAAAAAAGTGTTGGGGCGTGGTTCAAGTGGTAGAGCACTTGCCTAGTAAGTGCGAAACCCTGAGTTCAAACTCAGTACTACCAAAACAAACAAACAAAAAGATTATCTTATACAAAACTGAAAGCTAGATATCCTGGTTCTCCAAGAGTGGGGTAACTGCTGGCGCCTACCGCATCTCATAGCAGTGTATGTTCTGCTGCTTCTTCTCCTACCAAGCGTCCTCTGGAAGGGCTCGATGAGTAAGAAATGGCCAATGGCTCTGCCAAAGAGGCAGTAGGCAGTGTTGGCAGGTCTGGATGTTCCCCTAAAGGTAGGAGCAGATTCTCTCCTAACACAAAATAGTTTCAGTAGCTGCAGTTTGAGCTGAGGGAGATGCGCCAAAAAATAAGCACAGCACCTACTCCTTTTACTAACAAGCATCACTTATCAATGATGGGCAAAGTGTTTGACATGTGTTATCTTATAGAATAACCACAGCAGTCCCATAAGCAGTATAAAGAGATTAGCCAGCTGCTAAACGACATCTTCATGGGGTGGATTTACATTGCAGATATGCTTTGGTAGGGGAAGAATCAGATGGGCATCATATGAGCTTGATTGTTCATTTCCTTTGAATTTTTAATGATATATTTTATGAAACAGATTATCTCAAGTATAGAGATAATATGAAAAACACATTTTAAGTTATCATCCAGCTCCTGTTAGTTACCATCTAGCTTCTTGATATTTTGCCATGTTTCTTCAGGTAGTTTTTAAGGAATAAAACATTACTGATAATATTGAAGCCTCAGCACATACTTGTTCCTTCCTATTTCTCTCTAAGAGGGAATGACCATCCTGCATTTGTTCATCATTCTCATATATTTTGTACTATTGCCACATAGGTAGGCGCCTATAAAATATGCAGCATTACTTTGTACATTAAACTTTATATATATATAAAGTTTGAGCATTCCTTATTAAAAAATCTGAAATGTCCCAAATCTGAAACTTTCTGAACACCAGTGTGATATCACAAGTGGAAAATTCTACATCATGAAACCTATGAACAAATTCATTTAAAAATGTTGCTTTAATTTATATCCTGGCAATGTGTATGAGGTGTATATGAAACAAATGAATTTTGTGTTTACACTTGTGTCCTATCCTCAAGGTATCTTTTGTTATACATGCAAATATTCTAAAACTCCAAAAACTAAAATCTGAAACACTTCTGGTCCCAAGCATTTCAGATTAGGTATACTCCACCTGAATAGATAATATATTATATGTGAATTACTACATATAATATTATAATATATAGATATATATGCAACTTCTTTGCACTCATATTTTTAAAATTTGTGTTGATCATTTAGCTTTGTTGCATTGTTTGAATTACCATATAGAATTCCACTCTATAACTGCATCTCAACTTATCTATTGTCTTTTGGATGACAAGTGAAGCTATTACCAGGTTTTGCTCTTCAACAAAGCTCCTTTGTCCTTTTTGCTCCCAGCCAAGGTGAAGACTGGCCTGCCCCAGCTGATGACTATGTGCTCTCTAGAGGGCTCTACTAAGATGCTCTCCCAGACTCATGATCTCACTCATTCCTTGGCCTCTTCCACAGAGCTCTACCCAGAATCCCTTTGTATAGGAACAGATATCCCCAATTAAAATGAGAAAAACCCTCTTAAATGGAAGGAATTACAAAGTAAGAATCCCCCAGTCATTAAGTCATGGTATCCCTTTCCCATCTTATACCCAACTGATAGAAGGGTGCTGAAGAAGTGCAGGTTGTGGTAGAGGACAAAGATAGGCATGACCAGAACCAACTTACAAGGAGTACTGGCTTCCTGTGTCCAAATCTGGGTGCATGGCATAAACTGTGGGATGGGGAGTGACAGCAGAAAACTGAAGTGTGAGACACGCAATCCTCTCCATTTCCTGTGGTCTAGTCCGAGAGCTTTGCAGTCCCGGAGTTACCAGCATATCAGGTGTCAGGCTGTTTCCTATTTTCGGCTGGTTGGTGGGAGGCTAACTCATAAAGCAATACATCGTGTGAGAGAGTAGCCTGCAACCTGACCTTGGTGAGCACCTCTCTAGCCCCTCTTTGGGGCCTGGCCAAAGCTGTCTTGTCTTCTGTCCCTCCCAACAGGTGACAAAGAATTGATCCAAGAAGTCCTTTTTGATGCTGTAGTGAGTGCACCCATCGAAGCCTATTGGACCAGCCTGGCCCTCAACAAATCTGAGTAAGTGGTTGCGTGTGTCACCCTACATGACCATTTCCACACCAAGGCCCCCAAATATGTTTATGGTTTAAAGAACTAAACTGTTTTAGGAGTCTGGTGTTAAGGTTCTTTAATTTTCCCCTAAGCTCCAAACCACAAGAGCTAGAGTAGATTAGTGGCGTGGGCTTGGATGGCAGGCTCCTGGGCTTGACATGCAATTTGTTTTGAGTTTTAACATTACATGAAATTTGGTATGCAAGAGGTAGGGTGATACTTCCAAGAGAGAGGGAGGCAGAAGCAACATTTTTCTTCCTGCCTTGCCACAGCTCCCTCTACTTCACAGGCTGCAGCATAGTTGGGATGGGGCCAGGCTAGGTTGGGAATAGGATGGGGATTGAGATCTCTATTTCGGTAGGGTGTCGGATGTAACCTTGTGGTTTTATTTCTGAAGTAAGGATGGAGGCAGGAGTGGGAGAAGTCAATGCTAGTTGATGTCAAAGACTAGGATGAGAACTGTGTTAGCATCTTATTATAATATTATTTTAAGTAAGCTATTAATATAGGAGAAACCATTCCTTTTCCCTTATACCTTCAAATAGTACAATATTCAGTTCTTCTTTTTTATTCTTCATTAGTTTCTTCCTTCATTTTATCTCCTTTCTATTCCATCTATCATACACTCTGTACCCATTTGCTTTCATTCATTCATTCATTCATTTGTTCACTTGTTTAACTATCAAAGATTTGTTGTATGTACTAATCCAGGTGTTGGTAGGATAGGGGTAACCTAGACAGATGGGGGACTTGCCATTAAGGTCCTGTGGTACATAGTGCGTTGTATTATTAAGAATGTGTTAACAGCTGGGTTCTGGTGACTCACACCTCTAAACCTAGCTACTTGGGAGGCTGAGATCAGGAGGATTGCAATTTGAGGCCAGTCCAGGCAAAAAAGTTCAAAGACCCCAACTCAATAGAAAGGAAAAAGAGCTGGTCTTAGTGTCTTGTACCCGTCATTCAAGTTACAGTGGGAAATATAAAATAAGAGGATCATGGCTCAGACAGGGCTGGGCAAAAAGTGAACCCCTATCTCATTTTGTTTCAAATAGGCCTATTCAGCCAAGTGGAGGAAATATGTGTATCTCTCCATGACAACCATTGGTATTAAATGCAGGAGCATCTAGAACAGTAATTCCCTCTGAGTATTGAGTTAGTTTTTGAATGCAATGCTTCCTGCGATACATTTCTATAAATGCTTGCTATGCTTTAAGAAAAGTTCCTTTCTTTGTTCTACTCATTACCAAAACCTAAAGCACCTTTAAATAAAAGTCAAAAACTTAAAAGTAGTTTTGATTTGTGTTATGTTTTTGGAGTTTTATTTTATTTGAACTGATTTAGACAAAAGCAGAAGCAGTAGCAATCACATTACTACAGCTCCTTGAAAGTTATGTCAAAAGTCCATTGTCACACCTGACAAGCTAGAGCTTGATGAGGAACTTATTCCATTCAAAAGGTTCTTGTAAGCTGATGTTTACATCATACTGATGTTTTTCCCAGTGCAATTTTTCAAAGTTTAGAAAAAATTTAATGAAACTTAGCAAATGTAAATGAAAGCAGAGAAACTAACTTAGTGAAACCCTCATGTACCTATAATAAGCATCAATCGCTATTATCATTTTTATTATATTTCTTTAGCTTTCACTCCACTTTTTTTTCCCTCTCTTTTAAATGTGACTGATCCCTAAAGAAGTTGATGTCTTTTGGTATTTGTTTTATGAGCAAGAAAAGTTTTCCAACTGCTCCTATTATGCAGTTTATTCTTGATTGAAAAGGTAGAGGCCAGGAGATGGACAAGTACAACACAACAATTACCTTTTAAAAGTTATAGAAGAGAGAAAAGATTAAGATGAAAGAAAATAATATAAATATGAATCAGATTTTAATATTGGAGTTTGATGCCATGGTGCCCTCAGCCCTGTGACCCCTGGGCACACTGGCCTGCCTGAGCAATGCCTGGCTCACGACCTTCTGCCTTGCAATGTGGCCATACTTATCTCATGTCTCTGTCCCCCTAAGGCTCCCTATTCAGCCTATTCAGGGTATCTTTACTAAAAATTATCTCTTTCAAAGCAAATATGGTAAACAAATTACCACTCACCAAGTGTTTGTGTGTATATGTGTGTGTTTATGTAGGATGGTAGGAAGAGAGAATTAGTATAATGTTCTAATTAGGAGGAAATACTGTGTTTTCCAGTTTCCAGTGCATTTACGAATTCTAATTCAGTGACTGGAAAGTTCAAAAAGGGCTAGAGGTATTGCACAAGAACATGAAGCTCTGAGTTCAAACCCCAGCACCACCACACACAAAACAATTATGTTAACCTCTTTGAAGGAAAAGTAAAGACATGGAACTGTCTAGGTCGAGGGTTAGTACACCTTCCAGGAAGATAGATAGCATGTGCAACAGCTATGAGCTGAGAAAGTACTTGATACATTTGAGGAACTTAAAGATGGTCGACATAGCTGAAATATGGAGAGAAGGCTGAATGATGTCAGGAAATGAGGTTGAAGAGGGGTCACCTGGCGCAGCATCTTCGGAGTCAGGTTAAAGATCTTGATTTTATACTCAGAGTATGAGAAAGGGAGGAATATGACAGATCTACATTTTTTTTAAAGATCTCTCTGCTACTGTACGAGTAACAGAGTACAATGGAGTAAGAATAGCAGTATAGGCTCCTATAGCATTCCAAGGGATTTACGTCTTCCAAGGTATTCTGCTTCAGAGGTATGACCCCAGAACCTGCTGATGGGTTTGTGGTGTGCTTACTGTCTAGGGCAGGAAGGCTGAGCAGTCAGGTTCATTCCCATGTTTGCATCATGAGACCTGGAAAGATGGTGCCATTTGCTAGGATAGGAAAAACAGAGAGAAGCAGGTTTGGGGCCAGAGTCACTTCTAAACACTGAAGCCTAAGATGGCTGGAAGTCTCCTCAGTGAAGATGTCAGAGTGACAGCTTAACATGTGAGTCTGGAGCTCCAGGAGCGACTGCCATGTTCACTGTACTTTGGGGGTGTCCTGCTTACCTGCGTGGATCTCACTCCCTGGGAGGTTGGGAAGCCATCAAAATCTATCCTAGGATTTCTTTCTCTCATGATTGTGGAGATGTTTCTTTTAAGCTCTCATGAAACTCAAAATCTTGGGCAAAGATTTCTGATTCATTCCTAACACATGCTAAAGATTTCTAAAATGGTAGCTTGCTTTGTAATCCACATCTGTAACTGATTGGAGAGCCCAGCTTTCCAATTTGGTATAGGCTACAAGCAGAGCCAAATGCATCGTATTGGTTTTTATCCACCCCTTAAATACTTAAAGGTAGTATTGACCATCTTGACTAATACCAAAAACCAATAACTGAACAATCTTATATTGACAATGGCCTGGATAGTGCTTTGAATTAAATTGTTACTAGCAGCTAGGACAGAAAAACAAGCACATAAATAGGCATTCTCTTCATGTTTTCAATATAGGATAAAACTGGATTTGTGGAAAAAGCCGTTGACTTTTTGCACACAAGAAATGTACATTGAAAGTCTCCTACAGAACATGTTCAAATACAGAATTCTCCATGGAAACTGAAACACCATTATGTTCAATAACTTTTCAAAATAGGCCATCCTTAGAGTGCCTGAGCAAAGTACCCTATAGGTATTTTAACAAGCCATTCTTTAACTCATTTCTTTGGTGTTGGTGATGAGAATAAGGCTTATGCTGTAATAGAAGTTGTAAGTGGGTGTCCAAAACAACTGTGAAATTCAGATCCCATTCAGCTAGGTGGAATTCTAGGCTGTGGGATGTGGCAGATTTGGTTCAGTGAATTTGCTGCTTGCTCCCTCTCATAGTGGATTCTACTAACAGTCTCAGGACCAAGAATAGAGGTAGTAGCATTGAGGCAGGTGACTGGTCCTATGGACTTTTCCTTTCCTCAAAATCCTTCTTCTCCCCAGCCTGCTATCTCTGAATTTGTACCCCAAACCTAGAGATAAGATATGTTTATGGGTTGAAGAGCATTTTTCTCATGCTGCTTTTATTGGCAGGATTTCTTCATTTTTCCTGCAAGACATGAAAGCTGTTGTTAGGGATAAGAATTTGCTTTCTGGGCTTTGTGCATGTGTGTGTGTGTGTGTGTGTGTGTGAGAGAGAGAGAGAGAGAGAAAGAGAGAAAACAAGAATATGTATGTGTCTGTTTCTATAAATTCTTTTAAAGTTTAGGTTTCAGAGCTCCTGTTTTGTAAAACATTCTGTGAGTCTGAAAATGCAAAAGCCATTATCTGCTTACTGTCTAGAACCATCTCCCTGATGTCTGCTGTTCTGTTTCAGGAATTCTGACAAGGGCGTAGAGGTTGCCTTCCTCGGCACTCGCACAGGCCTCTCAAGAATCAACCTGTTTGTTGGGGCTGAGCAGCTCACCAGTCAGTAAGTGGGGGTGCTCCTCTGCAGTGGCCCAGTGAGTTCCTGAAATGGGAAATCCAAAAGGACACTTATTTCATTTCTTGACTCCACCACTGGCAGAAGCAAAATTCAGGTCACCTAGGCCTGCTGAGATTTTCTCTCTCTGTTCTATCATGGGGGCCCCAGAGCGTGCATTCACCTGCCAGTTGGCCCTTTCACAACCCTTTGTTCCTCACATTTATTGGCTTCTGTCCACTCTCCTGGAGGCCTCTCCTGCCTAGTGAGTCATTTCAGAGCTTGGGAGATGATGCGGCTGCTGGGGTTGCAGACAGAGGGAGGAAGCACTGGACTCCTGACGTATGGCTGTTCTGCAGCTGTACCCAAGAATTCCTTCCTGGGTCTCAGGTCTGATGTTTATTTTTTTGTTTATGTTATAACAAACCTCTATGCCTCTGTGCTTGTCCTGGGGACTACAGAGCCCCACACCTAGAGGTGGAATGTCTGGAGGTGCTGGGGTTGACAATATCTTCCAAGGAGACCCCAGGGGACAGGGACCAACAGTGGCTGAGTCCAGCACCAAGCTGCTCATTCAGCTACTGCTCAACCTTGAGTTTTTAGAGAACCATAGACCCTTCACATCAGATGAGCATTTCACCAGAGGTGGTTGATAATCTGAAGTCTTTTGTGCCCATTAAAAATTTTTCTTAATTTCTTTTCTCTGACCAAGAGGTATTAAGCCAAGGACAAATGGGTTTGAGATTCAGAAGGGTTGTGTGTGTTTGCAAGTGAGTGAGTTCAGTGATTACCAGGAAACCTCTGACCTTCAGGGGTGAATAACCAAACCACGGTGTGACTGGTAATTTGAGAGGGGTTGTCTCATCAGCATTCAAGTGGGAGGGGATGCTCCCTGTTCATCAGCAACACTGATGAGGCCCTGACACTAACCAGAAACCTCATAAAACTAACCCTGGTAAATGACAGATGGGCCCATTTTTAGAACTCTTGGGAGACTGGCTTTGAATCTCTATTGCAGGACTCCTGTATTCTTGGTATCTCACATTTATCATTTTTGATAACACAGACTTCCTCTCAAAGGAGTAGATTCTACTTCTTTGGTAGAGGTAACAGGAACAATGGTTTGCCACATCTTAAAACTATAGAATTCTTTTCTGAATTATGGACCAAATTCATAACCTGCTATAAAAATTTCTCTCCATGGTCCACATGATCCAACTCCAGGGCAAAAACTGCTGGATTGAAATGGTGCCATTTCTTATTCAACTCATGGCCATTTCCCTAGCTGTGCATTGTTCCTTGATTTGTCTCCCTTTTTGAAAGATCCCTACAGAATGTGGATGAGCCAGAAGTCATTTCCTCCCTCTAAACTGTGCCATATCAGCTAGGAGAAGGTCCTTAGGAGCTGGAAAATCAATGTGCTGTCCAGAGGAAAGCCAATCAGCAAACACTCAGTGGGGCTTCAGTACAGTAGTACCCCCTATCTTGATGGGAGTATGTGCCAAGACCCTCAGAGTACACCTGAAACTTTGGAAAGTACCAAGCCCTATGTACTGTTTTTATTCCTATATGTTTATACTTATTATAAAGTTTCATGTATAAACTAGGCACAATAACAGATTAACCACAATAACTAATAAGAAACAGAATAATTATAATGCTATACTGTAATAAAAAATTATGTGAATGTGGCCTCTCTCTCTCTCTCTCTCTTTTGCTCACACACACACACACACACACACACACAATATCTTCTTGTGATGCTATGAGATGCCTTTGTGAAGAGATGAAGTGAGTTGAAGGCTTTGACGTTGCAACAGAATGATAGCACTTGGCTACCATGTAAGGGTCACTTGAACACAGCTTAGAAACACACTGTCGCTGATCTGATTACTGTGCAACTCCTAAGAGGCTAATGGGCAGGTGGTGTACACACTATAGAGATGCTGACCAGAAGGACGATTCACATCTTGAATGGTATGCCATGGCACCTCACGAAGTTTCATCACACTGCTCGGAGCTGCACACTATTTCAAACTTAGGAATTGATTTTTCAAAGAATTTTCCATGTAATATTTTTAGACCGTGGTTCACCACTTATTTCGGAACCACAGAAAACATGGCTACAGATAAGGAAAGATTGCTGTATGTTAAGGCTCCGTAGAAGAATACAAAAGTATGAAAAAAGCTGCTGTCCACAGAAACGTTGGGAGGTTTTGGGGAAGGAACATGACAACTGTGTAGATAGATCCAGAAAAAAGGAGGGTATATGAGAGTGACCAAGGCTACAGGAACCCAGACTGGGGCAGAGCTTGTACATGTCTCTGGATTCACAAGGCAGGTATATGAAGTGTACCTTATAATATATTGCATATCTTGAAATTGCTAAAAGATTAGATTTTTAATGTCCTCACCACACACATACAGAATGATAAATTAATGTTGACTGTGGACACATACAAGTATATGTCTTGTATATACACAGATAAAAACATCACATTGTACGCTGTAACTGCTACACAAAAGTTCTTTTGTCCATTAAAAATAGGCCAATAAATAATAAAGAAAATGAGAGGGACTTTGACAGGAAGCTCTGAGCTGAAGAATGCATGTGTCCTTCAAGTTAGAGGGAAGTGCTGTGGGCAGGAGGCAGGGAGGCCAGGGATGGGGAGGGATCTGCAGAGGAATGGTAAGCCATCCTGTCTGAGAGTATAGAGGTGAACGAAGGAGGATGCTAAAGTCCTGATGCGGCCCACTTTTACTGCCTTCACACTTGTACCAATTAGTTCACTAAATACACTGGGACAAATTGTTCTGCTCCCTTAGAATCTGACTGCCTAAACTCCACAAGATGTTTTTGAGTAATATACTCAAACTGAGTGCACTCAGTGTTGACTCAGGTCCCCTCTGTGCTAAAAAAGGCAAGCCAGGGATTGAAAAGCCAACCCTGCTTTTACCCTCTGAAGGCTGTTAGACACACTGTGTCTACCTTGACCTTGAGCGTTACAGTACTCTTCTTTTTCATCTCCAGGGACTTCCTGAAAGCTGGCGACAAAGAGAACATTTTTAATGCAGATCATTTCCCTCTTTGGTACAGAAGAGCTGCTGAGCAGATTCCAGGGAGCTTCGTCTATTCCATCCCATTCAGCACAGGTGGGTGTCCTTGTGGGAGGCAGGGTTCTGTCTATATGATCCTTGTAGCCTGGGCTTTGTACACAGAGTGTGGGGGAGCTTCCTGAATGCTGAGGGAAGCCAAGTTCAGCCTTCAGAACCAATGCTGAATATTGGGCCAGACCTGAACCAGTGACGTGTCTGTTCTGTGTGAGTGATAGTTCCAAATAAAACAGAAGTTTTACTTTACCAAATTGTGCAAGGGGCATTTCATGAAGCAGAGCTGGTATTTTGTGCCCTGTGGAATTTGAATACAAACTTCTCAGTTGATTTGTTTTTAATATTGTCAAGGCCCCACCTAAGAGAAAGGCCAAGCATCCTTAGCATCAGTGAGTCTCTTCACTTCAAAAGTTCACAGTTCCCTATCTGAACTGAACTGATCTAAACTGCAGAATGAAGGACCAAGGCATTGCACAGCCCTTGCTCTCTTACCTGAGGGCAGAAGACCAATGTGAGCCATGCATTTGATGGTTTTTCCAGTCTTTAGATAGTCCCAGATCACTCTGGACTCTGGGAACAGATCCCCAGATCAATTTGCAGAATTAGTAGCTATAGGTTAATTTGATTACCCTCTTAACATGTGCACTATAAACAATCTCCAGTTTTGTCATGGTGGTTTTTCTTTTTACAGGAACAGTCAACAAAAGCAATGTGGTGACAGCAAGTACCTCCATCCAGCTCCTGGATGAACGGAAATCTCCTGTGGTGGCAGGTAAACAATCGATTTCAGTCTTGGAATGGAACATGAGCAAGGTAACCATTCTTCTGACCAGTCAACTTCGATGCTTCTATGTAGCATCCAAAAAGTAGGTTTCAAATGGAGAAAAGATTAAAAATTGCTTTTATCTCAGCTTGGTGTCATCTCCTCCAAACCAAGGCAATTATGGTAAGTTGTGTTTGATGCAAAGGCAGAAATCTTTCCCAGGGTTTCTATTAAATTCCGAGCCTGTAAGAAATTGTTACAATATGCAGTGGAGAATTTCTTGATAGTAAGTAGCATGCTTGTTTAAAGTAAACTCCAGATCTCCAACTTCTGTATCATTATGATGACAATGGGCATGTCAGGAAATTGTGGGTATGTTTTAGACAAACACAAGCTGAAATGTGCCCTTCTCCAGAGATACTGAAATTTTCATCACCCTAATCCCCTTGGGGAATTAGAGTTAGATGTGTCTGCAGGTGCTGGGTTTGGAAGCAAGAGAAAGCCAAACCATTTTACAAATGGGAGTTTTGCGTTGTCAAAGAAGCCCTTTCTCTGACTTTCCATTTCTCTCATCTCTCACAAGTGTCAGCAGACCTCTGTGACTGGCTGGGGACTTTCATTAGTGGTATTTGGCCTAAAGGACTGGAAATTGCCTCAAGCCCTTCTTAGAGGATAGCTGTTGACAAAAACAGGGCCTAAGAGCATGTCTGGCACGTAGTCTATTTCTGATATATAATTTTTGGATCCATTGGTTGATGGATGAGTTATATACTCCACGCATTCTCCTGATATGGCCTAGGTTTACCAAAGGGAATCATTTGTTTTGGGGCAGCCTCCCTCATTAAGTTGTATTTTAGAGTGACTTTGAACATCAACGCCTGTGTCTGCACTCTGTGATAATTTGTGGAAAGGAATTGAAATGGAGCAGAGGAGCGGATCTGTTTGAAGTGGTTGTTCTTTGGCTGGGAGATTTGGCCTTTTCTTCCACTTTATTTCTGACTTAGCCTGTGCATCATAATTATATTAGTAAGGACTAAAAGATCTGGGGATAGTCACCAAGGTTATTCTTGGGTTATTGCTTATGACAAGGATGACAGTCTTATGTAGCTGACCTGAAGCTTATCTTGAACTAGGCAGACCTATAATTAATCAGCCAGGAGATATGGGCTCTGAGGATTCATGCCTGCTGTCTTCAAATTTTGTCACTTAATGTCTCATGTTCCTTGAGGAAGGTGGGAGACAGGATCACTTAACTCAGCAAGATTTATTTTTGCTTAAAGGAAGTCAGACTTGCTTACCTCCAGGCTGTCCCCACCAGCCAATTCTGGAAGCATGTTATCTCTCCGGGGCTAAGGCCATATGCAACTGCTGTCAAAGATGTAGACAGGCCAAAGTTGTCTGTCTATCCGGTTCAAATTTTCTCTTCAAAACCTTTTCTGTGAGTTTCTACAAGAACACAAGTATGCTCAGTTGTTGCCAAATGCCTTCTAGTTCACAAATGCCTATTTGGTTGAGCATAGGGTGAAATGTGAACTCAGCCAGGGCACTATGTATGTAGACTAGAGAAGACCATGCATTTGACAAATGGCTTGCTGTCTGTTACTGAGTTACATAGCTGGCCAGAGACCACAGGCAGGTCACAAGACTCAGTTTGGATCACCTTGAGAAGATAGGAGAGGCATCCTTTTATTTATTGCTTCTAAATGTCTGTCAACTGGTCCCCATGTTAAGAAGACAATTACAGAGCAAAACCAAGAGGCAAGGTCATCTTGGGAACAGTATTTGGTTTGACCCTTTTAAAGTTGATGACTATTAACCTTCTTTTTCCAACTGTGTTCATTAGACATAAGCAAAAACAGCATTGCTTGATTTTGATCTTGAAAGCCGCCATGCATGCAGCCCCACAAAGGCAATGACTTCAAGAAGCCCCTTCTGTTTCCCAAAGTATAACCACCTCTTCAGCATATCTCTCAGGTTTCATTGACTCTCACTCAGCCCTCATGTCCCTGTGTTGATCAGCATTGGTAACATTCCTTTATGTACTCTCTTCAAATTAAGTAGACATTGTTTATCACTCTAAAATTGAAAGGGCCATTTTAATTGGGGAAGAAGCCTTGTTTTGGCAGATGAAGATGAGTATGTGAACAGACTTGCTCCCTGCAGCATGCCCCCAACAGCAGATGGAATACAGCTGACTGGCAGGAATTTTGGGTTTCAATGAAATCCTTGTGTTCATTTGAAACTTAACTGAAAGAAAAGGTGTACAACTTGCAAATTATTCTTCAGGACCCTTGAAAGGCCTGCTCATTCCCTGGCCTGACCATTCACGTGCTCATTGACGGTTTGCGCCTGTTTGGGGTCAAAAGAGGTTTTTTCTTTCTTTTTCCCATTTTCTTGTTCTCTTTTTTAAACAAAAACATCTAGATACTCATCTGTCAATGACACCTTTGAAGAAAGGCCAGTCAAACTGGGCAGGATTCCATTTGTACGTCAGCTTCAGTGCACAAACGGGCCCCATCCATCTTCTCAGTCTGTGCTATTACTTCCTATCCTTCTCTTCAGGACTTTGCCAATCTCTAGCTCCCACCAGTATGCCACATTTTCTTAATTGATTTCCCACTGCAGAGGAGGAAGTAGCAGGACCTTCACTTTGGCCTGTCCAGTTTCTCTAGAGTCCTGGAACTTTCTGTATGTGTGAAGCCCATAATCCGTATTTCTGTTGTTATTGGAAATGCAAAACTTGGACTGTAAGGTCCAAGTGAGTTTGTTACCCACTCTGTAGCTTGCTGAACGTGTGGTCTTGGGCCTAAAATAGGATTGAGATTTTTAGCTCTGTGTCAATTTGAGAATAAAATGAGAAAAAAAAAAAAAAAAGAAAATGCCTGGATATAAGGATATAAATAAATACCTGGCTATAAATAAAAGTGCTAGAATTTAGGGGCAACACATTTTGATCATCAGTTTATATTCACCTGTTTGTTCATTTATTCAATAAATATGCCATGAGCTCCTGCTTTTGCCAGGAGCTCTAGCTATCAATGTATAATTACCAAGCTCTGTAACCAATACCCTCTTCCTCCTGCCCCCAGGCCTGTAAAATAGCAGTTATTTTTAAAGCTATGTCTGTATAAGAACCAGTGAGTTAAAGAGCTGAATGATTATCTGAAAGATCCTAGAGGTCAAGGGCTTTGTTCCTTTTATCTTCTGTTCCTCAAAGCATAACCAGTGAAGTATTTGGGCCCTAGTGGATTGACCTCAGTAAAAATTTTATAAATTCTTACCTAACTAATTGTCAATTGGGTTCCATAAATTACCTAGATTGTGGTAGTAATTCTCCACTCTACTCTCAATGGGAAGACCCGTCCCTATAGCCCTGTGCTCATAGCTACTGCTTCTACCATGCTAGGGTAGGAATGACCTGGAAAGGATAAAAAAAAAAAAAAAAAAGGCACAGGATGGGAAACTGAGCCCAGGAAGAAGGTATAGCCCTGCAAGGGATTTCTTCCTCTCTTTAAATCGTTTGTCTGACCTCCCTAGTCACGACTAACTCTGACAAATAGAAAATACCTAATCTCAACTTTTATTAAGCAGTTTAGACTTCTGAATTTTTTAAATACTACATAATAGATTCTGAATTATTTGCATTTTTTTATGTACATTTTAACATCAAAACCTAAAATACTCCTTATAATGGTCCATTTTGATTTCTTAAATATTTGTAAAGTCTCCATGAGCAAGGACTCTCCCAAATGTCTTTCTATTCCCAATGCCAAAGACAAGGGCTAACACACAGTAGATATATGATAAATACTGTCTAAATCAATGATTCAAGGAAGGTTGCTTTATTTGCCATTTGTTATATTTAGGTGCAGAAATACACAAAAGTCACTGGCCAGACAATAGAAACACTGTACCTGATAAAAACTCTGAGAGAGTATCAGCAACTAAAATCCAGTACAACCCATAGTAATACAATACAGAGCAATGTGACTATTTCAAGGAATAGAAAAAAATTGTACCCCACCCTAAAGACAATTGTATGGGGCCAGTAGTTATCTCTGCATTAGTGCATATCTTTTCTGAGATCTGAGCATCTAAAGTAAAGCTTAAAATAATAGAGGATCTGATCATAAGAAGAAAAACAGACTATAGGCATTAGAGCATTGAGTTCTTACAGAAACTGCTTTATTGAGGTATGATTTACATACCAGAAATTCACTCATTTTATTTGTAAAGCTCAATGCTGTTAGTGAAATTGGGGGTGGTGGTCCTGACCCACCAGTTTGCTCACTTACAAGGAACATAGATTGTATTATGTGTATTCGTGGGGAAATTTTGAAAATGTGAGTCTCATTTGCATAATTCAAGACAGTGTAATGAAGGGGAAGATTTCATTTTAACTAGTTAATTAGGAAAGTGATTGATTAATATCTTTGGCCATTAGCTATTGTCAGGTAAGTGCTATTTAAACTAAATGTAGTGTTTAATATAGGCCTCATTAGTGCTGAGTGAATAGCATTGGCAAAATGTTACAGGCACACACCTGGCTTGATCTCATTTTTTTTGTTGGGGTCTCATATATTTGGTACATATGAGTTAACTAGCATGTCAGGAATTAAGTGTCAAGCCTGCATGTATTTAAAAAAAAAGTTATAGTTTATGAAATCTGAGCAAAGAAATTGTTTTTCCTCCACAAAATTAATATTTACTGATTGAGCCAGTAGTTTCCAACCAAGAGTAGCTTTGGCAACATTTAGAACTATTTTTGACTGTCACTACTGGTGTGTGTTGGGGTGGCTGTTGGCATCTAGTAGGTGAAGATCTAGTGGGCAAAGCAGAATGATCTGGTTAAAAATGTCAGTAGTGGTGAGATTGAGAAGTTGTGGCTATGTTCAACTTTTTAAAACAATTTGCATCATAATTTAACCATTCAATAAAGACATAGTTCATGCTTACTTTGTGCCTAGTGCTGAGGCTATAACTTGAACAAGTACCCAGAAGGCAGTACA